CCTCTTATACTCTTCTCATCCTTATGACTCGACTTGCATGCTGGACATAACGACTTATCAATAAGTCCATAATAATCGAATTTTTCGCTACTAAATTCTCTATATATATCAGGATACTGGCCTAATATTTTATTACGAAAATAAGCACAGGTATAGGTTGTATTAAATGATGCGTTTACCTTTATTTCTGGATTGTTTTCTTGAGATAGCTTCAAACCAGATGAATCGGAAACGTGAGATTCAGTAGATATACTTAACTTGGTCTTGGTATCTGGTAAAGATTTAACTTTCTCAACCATTTTATCTTCTAAATTGCCGGAGAAAGTCACAGAATGGCTAGAGATCTGGGATGATAGGATAGAGGGAATGGATATAACACTTACCTCAGTTTCTGGTAAAGTTTGTTCAGTCATGTGTGCGTTCCAATTTGGAACGGAAATTACTTTTCGATTTTCATTTGACTTAGAAAAATCGCTTATGATATTTTGAATTTGAATATCCTTTAAACTTGAAATAGCACTTGCACTGTAAGACATCTGACTAATTTTATCTATTCCTATATCTTCAAACAATATATAAACTCTTTTAGTTCTGAAAGTTATTTTACGCAAGTTTACATTAGTAACATTAGGTAAAAGTGTTTTGATTTTATTATATACCAATGTTCTTGCAGATTTGTCGTCAATTTTATCCATAGTCCTAATATTTCTAACTCTATCCTCGTACGCTTTATAATAACAGTACCAGCATAAAATCTCCTTTTGTCTAGTCTTCATAGCAATGTTAAATAAATCAGCTATATTTTCTGCTGTAACTTCACTAGATCCTGTTAGAATTGCTTCTATAGAGAATTCAGGAATCTGTATATCAATTACATCATTAGTTCCGTTCTATCGTTTTTGACACAAATGGATAATTCAAACCTCAACTCTTGCTCGACTTTTTGGTTATAGGGAATTTTCTTTGCTTCCGATATGGTTATTTTCTCTGATTCATCGAAAGTTTCAGGTTCCGATTGAATTATTTTTTTGCTATGGGAAATTTCAGTTGTAGAATTTATTTCAGAAGAAATGGTACGTTGAAGCTTCTTTTCTCTATTTCTCTCCCTCATCATATTACTAACTCTTTCCTTTTCTTTACAAATTAGACTTAGTCTCTTCAGTAGTATTGTTAGAATTTATTTCAGGAGAAATAGATAATTCCTTAGGAATCGATTCAGTGATCTGCGCATTCTTTTTATCGTGATGGTTTTCAATAGGTGATAATGTGGATGATCGATTGGTAATCGCTGATAATTCTGAATGAATAGGAGATTTTGGCACGGATATATCAGTATGAAGTTCTGAAATATTAGGTGTAATTTGTTTCTGTTTAATCTCCTTGATATCACGTTCTAGTTTCGTTACTCTACCCTTAAGTTTAGAATTTTCTATCTGACTTCGCTCCTCATTCTCAGCACTTTCTTTTGCGTTCCGTTCTAATTCTACAATTCTAGCTCTAAACCCTTCTTCCTTAGCTGAGAATTCAGCATTCTCCCTTTTAAGTTCAGTATTCTCAGCTATAAGCTTGGAAATCTGTTCTTCTAATGAATCGATTTTAGACTGTGTATTTGCCATTATTTTTATATAAAATGTAACTATTCAAAATAAAATAAAATGCGTACGTTCCAATTTGGAACGCAGATCACTTTTGTCAAGAAAAATTTAATCAACCGTAATGTAGCCCGTGATGGGCCATGATCGTACTTTGATTCATATAATTATAGGGAAATTACTATTTTATCAGCCGTGATGATGAGCCGTAATAATTACATGAATGAAATCAAGATTAAAGATATACACAAGTTTTATTAGCGGAGCTTCAGATAAATGCCAAACTATGACTATATTAAAAATACTATATTTTTTCGCAAGAATGAGCGTGAAGTTTATATTACGGGTGCAACGAGATGTGTGTATTAAAATTTTTATTGAACACTAAAAACCATCATTTTTTCACTAATTCCTTAAACTGTGGTGTTCCCAGTGTAGTCCGACACCAATTAGTTACTTCTGCAGAACTATGTGTATCTTCTTTCTTTTTTCTAATATCGTCACGAAATCTTTGTACTTCATACTCATATTTCTCCTGGGTTTTACAATGTTACTGGTTAGTTTTAAAAATAATCATGTCAAAAAAAAAAATATCGAAAACATTAATTTAAGCGTACAGCAAATGTGAACAAATTGTCAATGCCATTAATGAATTGTTCACAGGTTTGAAAGGACTTGGGAAGTTCAGTCTCGCCAATATCGAACATAATATAGAGTCCTGAAGCAGTCAAAACCATGATATAGCCCGTCCATACTGTCACTACCATGCCATACATATGTGAGTACACAAACAATTTAGAAACAACATGATATGATTATGTGGTGAACACTTACCAATTGTTTGCCACGCGAAAGTCATATGATTCTTTCCTGTCTTCTTAATGAGAATATCAAGGGCATCCTTCATGAAAATGCCTAGTCTGATAAGATCCATGTTGTTTTTCTTTATGTTATTGTTTTTTCCTTCTCCTGTAATCTCTCCAAACATCATTTCGTATTTAGATTTGTTGTTATTTACAACATTGCCGATCATATCTGGTTGCTTTGCTCGTGAAGAATCTAAATTGGCAAGTTTACGGACTTTTGCGCTCATACTGGCAGTGTTTGGCCATATGACTGGATGTATTGAAGCATCATGTAAGAAGGAACGCAATACCGGACTAATGATGTTGACAGTCAGAGTGCCCTCACTGAGAAGGTCTTTCAGTGGCTTAATAGGAATATTTTTCGTTCTGAGATAGATAAAAAGATTATAACCAGTTGAACATATAGGAGATAAAAAATGCCATAAGTTGAACTTACAGCTGTAAAAAGACAAACCGCATCCTTTCGAACTTTTTCTGGTCAATGGGATCATCAAAAGACTTTGTGAATAATTGTTCTAAAGTTTTTTCTGCTT